ACTCACTGTCAGTAACAGAACAGGAGGAGTGAGCTGATCCTGCTCTGGGGAGACCCCTGGTAGGGAAGGTTCCATGTGAGATGTGGATGCACCTTCCTCCTACCGTCTCTTTCCTCCATTCTGCCTGGTGGCTTAGTGAAATTCTTAGACGCCTAAGAAGAAGATAGAACTAACCACCCCAAGACCTGTACTGCTTGCAATCTTACAAAAACCAACCCCTAACTAACACACTGGCATTTTTATTTTTGGAAATCGCTGCCACTTCTCTAACCTGTTTGTCCTGGGCCGCCCAAGAGTAAACACAGTCCAACTCCAGTTTGGCATCTGGTCATGCCTGAGACCAGCAGGGCCTCAGCTTACCACCCCTCTACCTTGGCCTCTTCATAACTTGCTTTCTAAAAGGTCTCAGCCTTTCTTTATGTCCTCTTCTCCCTCCTGGGCTCCCCTCTGGCCCTGCAGTGTTCTCTCCACGGCTTGTGATTTCTCCTGGTGTGTAGCCTCAGTGGCAGGATGCTCTGAGCCTGCTCACTTTTCCAGCAATGGCTTCTGCCTTCCATCTGCTTGCCCTGGTGAAGGAAGCCCATAAACCGGCATGAGTACAGCTCTGTGTGTATGGATAGTACGGCGTCCTGGGCATGCAGGTTTTAGCTTCTCCTTGACTCTGTTACTCATCTCGCTTCTTTGCGTGAAATGTCCCACCAGAACAGAGGTGGCCGAAGGTTCTTTTCAGCTCCTTTGCTTGTGCACAGCACCCCTCAGTATGTAAGGGCTATCACAGCAGAGCTCAAATTTGATTTCACAACAACCCTGGGGGGATACCATGAATCCGTTTATCACAGGTTTACCACATGCCAGACACTGAGTGCAGCACCCCACATCCATGGGCTCATATTACCTCCTTTTGTAAGGATTGTTTTTGAGCCAATTTTATGGGGTCAGAAAATTGTGATTCAGAGATTGAGTCCTTTATTCAAGATAGCCCAGCTTATACATGGTGGCATGAGATTTTAAAGAAGTCTTTCTGACCCCTAGTCTTTGCCCTTACATACTGTGCCCTTCCCAGTATCTCCAAGTTCAATTAACAGATGAGTCAATTGAGGGTCTAAAGGTGAATCTGGATAATTGGAAGTGACTCAGTGAGTAAACTTGAATCCAGGATCGTTTTTCCTGCATGCTCAGAGCCTGTCCCCAATTTCTTGTACTCCACTACTTTTTCAGGCTCTGGGAACACAGAGCTGGTTGGACAGATGCTTGTAACATAAATAATAAATAATATAAATAATCCAAGCTGCTACTGTGTTTTGGGTGAGGTGCTCTGAACCCTTTCAGAGCCCTGCCCGGGGACATCTGTTTCAGTAGGTCGGTGGCATAGTAACCCCTCTAATACTGGAATTCTCACTTGGCCAAGTTTTCACAATTAAATTTCAATCTATATTAGAAGCCACATGGTTGGTGGCTCAGCTGAGGCTGGTGGAACTGAGGCCAAGGCAAATGGGGAGCCTGTACCCCAACCTGAGGGCCAGAACCACCTGCTTGGGCTCATATCAGATGCTAATGCCTGTGGCTAGAGAACCAGTGGATCATTAAGCTAAAGGGAATCTGAAGCTCAGTCCCCATCAGAGCAGGGCAAGGGAGTGGGTGGTGTCACTCTGCTCCACCTTCTGGAAGTTTCCTGTACTGGGCTATCACCTGAAATTGCCTAGGTAATGTGAGGAGGCAGACACAAGGCTAGGCAGGGGCTAATTAGGCCTTTGAGGCTGCTGTCCTCTTCCACACCAGACCGACTGGGCAGCCATGCTGTAGTTTGAATCCCAGGTGCCCTGCCTTGGGTAACGGACCCTTTGTCTCTCTGTCTCAGTTTCCTCACTTAACCTAAGACAGTGATGCCTGGCATGCACAGTTATAATGGTAAATGACAGAGCATTTCTGAAGCGTTTGGTCCAGATTGAGCAGGATTTGGGGACTCAAGACAAGTTTTGCAGAACAGGCATTCAGGGCCAGGAGGAGAAATCATCCATCCCTTCAATCCTTTATGTATTCATGGAGCATTAAATATACACCTGCTGAATGCTGTTGACATTAGCATCAGATAACAACCTGAGTGGTTGCCATGTGCCCCACACCGCACTAAAGACACACACTGTATTTAGCCTCACGATGACCCAGTGACGTAACACTGTGAATACTACCCTTATTTAACCAATGAGAAAATCAAGGCTCTGAAAGATACAGTGACCTACTCAAGGTCACACAGCCTGTAAGTGTCACACTCTGGACTAAACCTGCGTCACTCTAAAGCTAGCTCTTAGCTGCTTACTGCTGGAGGGCTCTGGAGGCAAAGGGGGGGGGTCTTCCTGCCTTCCAGGAGCCCCCAGTGTGGGTTTGTGAGCTGACTAAAGATGGGGGTGGGTAGCGGTGACCAGGGCGAGTTGTTGGGAGGCAGTGGGGCCAGGAAGGTGGGGTGGCAGTTGCACAAGAGGCCTCTGTTGAGGCTGGTCTTGGTTTGGGTGATATGCCATGTTCATATGAGGGTCAAACACCCATTATCAGGGTGAGAAGGGGCTGGGGACCAGGCAGGGTCTGACCCGCACAGCAAGTGAGAGCAGGAGAAGACAGAGGGCTGGGTCCGGCAGGCAGACTTTGCAAGGTCATCAGTGGACCAAGTTAAAAGCTGCTCTGAAGAGTCAGCCTCAAGATGTGCCCACTGAAACCTGGATTTGAAAGGAATGTTTTCCGTTCTCCTTCTCGGAATTCCCTCTGTCTTCATGTGCTCTCACCCTCTTCCCCATGTTTCCTTTCCTCTGTTCGCTCTGAGAAACCCGGTATCAAGTAGCCAGTGACTGTATAATGAGCAGCTGGCTTCCAGTCTCCTCTCTGCCACATCCTTTGCACCGTTGGACCTACGACCCATGTGACTTCAAGCAGTTTACTTAATCCCACTGAACCACCTGTTCCTCATTTCATTTACGGAACAGAACCTATGTTCTCTGTCACACAGGGTTGCCTTGAAGATTGTAATGAAATAAAGTAACATGAAGTAATACAGTAAGGAAGGGCCTGCTGTGGTTTTTATCAAGGGTTAGTGCTTTCCCTGCCTGTGTTCTCTCTTCACCCGCCTTTCCTCTGATCTCTTTCCTTCTAAGTCCTCCCTCCCTCCCTCTGTCTCCTTCCTTTCTGATCTCTGATGTAAGAAACCCACAAGTAATAACCATGTTACAGATGATTTCTAGGCACAGTGCAATCACTAATGTATGTTCTGTGGAGGGAAAAAGGATCTGTCATGTCTTGGTGGAGCTCCAGAGGTGATCAACTATACCCACATACCCACATAGCCATGTTACACATACTTGACAGATCACACACATGTGCATACACATACAGATAAATACACATACTTAAAGCTTTCTTTGGTTAGTATACTGGTCTTAAGTTCTGATATCCAAAGAAACCTTCCTCAGCCATACCTGCGTACCGGGCCCACCTACCCAACCCCTCCCTGCACAGAGGTGATGAATTCTAGCCGAGGAAGCTGAGGGCCTTGCAAAAAAGAACTCAGTGGTTTCCCAATACCCTCAGCAGGGTAGCAAGATCATTTTGGTAAATAATGTTCCTCTTGGGCTAAACAGATATCCTTAACAGCAGTCACCCCCACCCTTGCGCCAGGATAATGTATCCATCTGTCATTTTCGTTAGATGTTATACGAGTAGTTATCAGAAGTTGTCCTTGCCTTGAATGGGATCATGGTCAAGGAAGAGCGATCAACCACATGGGGGTGTTGAAAGAATATAGGTGTTAGAGGTAAAGAATAAAACCAAGCAAACACACAAAGAATAAGGCTCAGCTCTTGCTCTGCTGCCCACCATCTGACTTTCTGAGCCTCTTGATTTCCTCACCCCTCCACTCAGTACAGCGAGGGTGATCCTTCCCAACTCTAGGGAGTTCACAGCAGGGACTCAACAAAGTGGACTTCAGGCTCCCAGACATAAAGCCCAATGCGTCATGAGGCAAGGTATCTGAGGGGTGCCTACCCCGGTTCATGGGAGATGTTTCTGCTGCAGAGTGAATAAAGGGAAGCAAGGAGAATGCAGACCTTCCACCTCAAACCCTCAGCAGGTGCTGGGGGGGAACACAGACGTATTTCACACATACCCCTGCTCTTGCAGAACTCACAGAGCAGGGTTATTCATGACCTCATGGCTCATGTTAAGATGCATTCACAGGCATTTTAGCCTGTTGCAGTTTAAGGTATGGCTCAATCAAATATTTACCAGCTGGATGTCCTGAAGAAAAATAAACTTCAGGCTACCTTAAACTTATGAATAAAGGAACCTTAGAGAGGTGCATATTTTCATTCATTCATTCAACAAATATTATGAGACAACTACTTTGTCCCAAGCTCCTTTTTGGGAAGCAGACATTAAAAGATGAATGTTTCTGACAATGAAGACCATGTAGACTATGCAGAAATTATACTTGACTTAATAATGCTGTCTTAGTTTTTCTTCCAACCTGCTACAAATATATCTCCTGATCCTTCAGTGGAACTCATTCTAGAGATTAGGAAATGGGGCCAAGAGAGTGTGAGCAAATGTCCTGGGGCCACTCAGCCGGTGGGAGGCAAAGTAGAGATTCAGATGCTTGTCTGTGTGAAGCCACAGCCCTGGCTCTTCCCAACATTTAGCAGGCTGTGCTGCTCTGGCATGACCATTGTCCATGTCCTTTGCAACTCATGGAAACCTTATGAAGGAGGAAGGGCAGGGATTCTTACTCACCCTTGTCATGTGAAAAGCAAGGCCAGGAGAAGTCAAACAGATTTCCAAAGGTCACACAGTTTGTTGGTGAGAAAGCCACGTTTGAAAACAGCATGTCTCAAAGCCATGGCGGGTGGCTCGACAGGAGGCGCACCTGGGGTCCGCACTGAGTGGTGACCGGGAAGCCGCCTGTGGCCCCGAGAGCAGGGGCCCATTCTCTTGTCCTTGTCCTTGTCCCTCCGCTCCAGGGCGGCCTCATCGCACTGCTGCTGATGCTGTTGGGTCTCACGGTGGCGCTGTTCGCCCAGAGGCGCTGGCAGAAGCGGCGCCGCGTCCCGCAGAAGAGCGCGAGCACGGAGGCCACCCACGAGATCCACTACATCCCGTCGGTGCTGCTGGGGCCGCAGGCCCGGGAAGGCTTCCGCTCCTCGCGGCGGCAGGCCCACGGCTCCGTCATCGGCGTGCCCATCCGGGAGACCCCCATCCTGGATGACTACGACTGTGAGGAGGAGGAGGACCCGCCCCGGCGCGCCAACCACGTCTCCCGCGAGGACGAGTTTGGCAGCCAGGTGACCCACGCCCTGGACAGTCTGGGCCGGCCAGGGGAAGAGAAAGGGGACTTTGAGAAGAAAGGTGAGTCCTTTTCGGTGCCCACCACCTTCCGGGAGGCGTTCTGGGGACCTGCGGGGAGGCGCAGGGCCTGCGTAGTTGGGGACACAGACGGTGTCTTCTGGGCTAAGCCAATTCGGGTTTCGGGGCCACCTCTCCGTGGGGTTCGCAGAGTTTACCTTCTCTGGTTCTTCAATAGTGGGGGGGGGGGAACAAGAATATCAGTCTTCCTGATTAGAGTTTTGAGGAGCATCAGAAGCCATGTAGTCCAGTATCTCTCCAGGGTCTCCTGATTGCCTCCCTGATGGCCGTCTAACTACACAGGAGGAAGCTCGTACCCTTTCTAGACACTACTCTCAGGAGGCTTTTCCTTACACTGAGTTGAAATCTGTTTTCCTGGCCCTCTGTGTCCACAAAGAAAGTCAACCTGATCTTGCTTCTCCAAGGTGGCTCTTGAGAAATCTGACAACAGAAAAAAAAGGTACCTCGTACCTTCTAGAAATCAACCTAAATAAACAGTCCATTTTATTTCACTAGATTTATGTGACATATTTTTTAGACATTTCACCATCGCGGCACTGACCTTTAGATGGCAATTCTACCTTTTCCTCTTCTGTAGTGTGGCACCAGAACTGACTGTCCACTCCCCTTGCTGAGCAGAATTGGGACTTTGACCTTACTTTCCCAGCTGTTAGGCTTCTGTCGATGCAGCCAGAGATCATGCTGGCTTTGTGCAACTCTGCTGGCTCATACTGTACTTTATGATTATGAAAACTGCTCACTCGTTTGCAAAGACCCATTACTTTTGTTCTATTGGAGGCCAGTCGATTAGTTGGACACAGCACGGGATGTATTCATTTTGTCTTTATTAAGTGTCTGTAGCTCCACGTTGTTTGTAGATGGAATTTGGCTATTGTCCTTTAGATAAACACTGCAAAGGTACCATTCTGCTTTTTTCTCCTCACTGTCTTTGTGACTCTGATGATAATGATGGGATGGAGTTTTGGCTGGGAGATCCCAGTTTTGACACTGACTCACTCCTTTTTGTGAGCTGAGAGGAACCCTGACTGCTTAGCGCAGCCCTGGAGCTCAGAGTCTACTTCCTTCTCTTCTACTTCTAGGCCCTTCCTCTCAGACCCACCTTTCCACAATGCTCAGTGGGCAAATAGGGCTTCTTAAGGGCTTCATTAAGGGCTGCGTAAAAGGAGAAATGTTTGTCAAGCTTAGAAACCCAGGGAGGGGAGTCTATTTAGGACAGTGAGATAACTTTTTCATGGGGTGACCCGGGGATAGCCATGAGTTTTGTCAGGAGCGGATAGGTACTTAGAGCCTGGGGAGTTCATATAAAAGTAATCCCATAACCCTTTGAAATTGCAGCACTAAGGGCTGATCCCACCTGCACATTTCACACTTAGGATTGACCTGTAAATTCAGACCGCTCTATCACACTTGAGCTCTGTCAGCCTCTTTTTTTCAGTGTAGATCTGCAAATAATAGAGGGGCAATCTGGAGCACAGAGGGAGAAAGTTTCATTACCAAGCGACAAATGTTTGGGTTCCTGGACTCCAAGATCATTGTACTGAGAAGGTCTGACGTTCAGCTGATGCACACCCATGTTGCTGACCCTCTCTCTGTTGTTTTGTTTTGTTTTGATTTTTACTTACTGAAGTATAGTGGATATAAAATGTTAGTATTTGCCCTTTGTCAAATACTGAACTTCTGTGCTAGTTGGGACATAGCTTGCTGCCTGACCCCACCCAACACCCTCTGCAGCCTGGCAGGCCCAGCCCCTCCCCAGGCACCCTGCTGAAGTTCCTACTGTCTAGGAACAGGTAGTTTTAGGACACTACTCCAGTGTGAAAGCTGGCATCCTGTCTTTCCTGTGAGTGCCTTACAAGTTCTCAGGTGTTTTGAATATCACCGCTGCTACACCTCGGCAGGTTGCTGAGAATGTAGTCATGCCAACATGTGAATGCTCGTCACTATTTGGTACATAACGGAAACTTGATACAATTAATTCCAATTCTCCTTGTCCATCCTGAATTTATGTTTCCTTTCCCTGAATACTATGCATGAAAGCTCAAGGAAATTAAAATGACGAATTTATCCCTTTATCCAGGGCTAGGGTAGGGGATGTCAGAATGAATATTGGGTTTTCTTAATTTTGTTTTATTATTGTGAAAAATTGCATGCGTTTTGTAAGACAAGGAAGGAAAGGAAAGAGAGAGAGAGGAAGGCAGGCAGGCAGGCAGGCTGAGTTATATAAAGCAATAACTGAAAGTCTTACCCTTGTCTTTCTATCTTATCTAGCTGACAAGACCCAAAAATTAATCCTTGAGAAGATAATAGTTTGATTTTATATTCTAGCATTTTCTGACATACACATGTATGGATATATATTTATATCCATATAATATATATATATATATATATTATGTATGTATGTGTTATACATTTAAGTTACATACATACATATAAATTATATGCATACCCATGTACATGTATTTGGTACTCGGATTATTTATATATACATATATATATTTACACTCAGATATACACTAATGGGACCATCTCAGCCAAATATGTCATTTTGCAGCAGTTTAATAGTTTACTAAACATTGTGTGAAAGACATCTTTCCATGTCACCACGCACACCTATCTTATTCATTTTGAAAGCTGTATAGGATCCCATAATGTGAACCTACCAGGCACACCAATATTTACTACCTCCTGTTGTTGACCATTATCTCCTGTTCATACTGGCATTTTGAGGAATCAATAAGCATCTTGTACACACACACACACACACACACACACATTCTTGCAAATGTGAGGTTGTTTCTGTAAGATGGATGCCTAAAACCAGAGGGTGATGAGTGCATCAGAGGGTGATCATTACACATGTGTAATTTGGTAAGTGTGGCTGTGTTTATTCATTTTTTAAATTTGTTTCATTCTCTTAAGGGAGGCTGCATATACTCCCTCATACAGATCTGCATAAACAGCCACTGCCCCAGCACATTGAGAAGTCATTTATTATCACGAACCCTTCTGATCTTTATGTAGTTGCCATCATTTTATATGTGCAATTTCTCTTTTGTTTTTTTTTTCCAATTAACGTTGGTTCCAATTCTTTTGTGTGTCTAAAGTCAGTCCTCACTGTTACCCTGAGAAATGATTCTTTTGGTGAAGTGATGCAGAATAAAAGCTCTTTTTTTTTACATTTGTTTGTTTTACTCTCCTATTTCAGTTCAAGGCTTAGGGTGGAAGAAGAGAAGAGAGACGGCATCAAATGCCAGCAGTAGCCCCAGTGAGAGGTGGGAAGGGGTCGCAGTCACTCCCCTACGGGGCCAGCAGGCTAAACCTGATTGTTGCTCAGGATCACAGACCAGACAGCCTCAGAGTGACCGGGCCCCTTACTGGGAGGATGGAGAGGAGGCCTTTGATAGAGTCCCTGTAGGAACCCAGCTGCCATCCTGTCCATTATCCCAGGAGCCATGTGTAATTAGCCCTGAGTGGAAGGCCTATGGGAGGGTGGCTAGGAAACCAGTATGACTGCTCCTGATGACAGTTAGCCTTTACTTAGTTATAACCACGGTTCTGAGGACTTTCCGTGAATTAAGTCACTTACACCTCACAATACTCTATGAGTTGTGTGCTAATATTGCCCCTACTCTGTGGAGCAGGAGACTGAAGCCAACAGTGATTAAGTAACTTATCCAAGGTCGCACAGCTGAAATGTGGCTGAGCCAGGTTAAAACCCTAGCACAAGAGCCAGGGTGTCATGGGGCAGAGCTGGGATGGGAGCCCACTGCATTCCCTGACTTCCATGATCCTTGGGCATGCACCCAGCTCTGCAATCCCAGGGGCAACTAGCCACCATGAGCTTGCTTCGCCCACAAATCTGGGAAGAAAAATAGGAAATTAACACCTGTTCTCCAAGACAGGAGCTGTTACACAGTAATTCTGAGCTTCCATATTGGCAGAAGGGATTTTGCACGGGGAAACCCCATTTTTTGGAGTGTTTTGACTGGTTCCCAGGGGCCCAGGGACCTCATGTTTGTTGTCGATAGAGAACTCTAGGGTGACAGAGAACTGAGAACCTGTTTATTAACTCACCCTTCTGACACCCCTGTGAACACCATGTAAATGTCCTCCTTGTGTAGCACTTCCCAAAATTTCAGAGCTCCTTTGTCCACAGGCTGGTAACCTCAGCACCAAGTCCTTAATAACCTTTTTTTCTGAACTGGACAAAATTTAATATCTTACCTTAGTGTTCAGATTTCTTCGCAGAGGCTTCAGCCTATGTTTTCACCACCTTCATCCTTGCCGAGGCTCCAGCCTATGTTTTCACCACCTTCATCCTTGCCCATCCATCCCCTCTTCATGCCACGCCCCTCTGCCTGGCATCCGTGGAACACCTCATCCTCACATACCTTCCTGCTTCCATGCCCACCCTCCTCACCCATTCTCCACACAGCAGCCACTCTGTTATGTCCCTTTGGTCATAGCCAGTCCAAGCTTAAAGTTTTTCCAGAGTTCTCACTGCTGTTGGTCCTCACCTTTTATGCTCAAGTCACAGTGCCTCCTCCTCTGTTCTTTAGACATGCGATGTTTCTACCACAGGCCCTTTGCATATGCCATGACTATCTTTGCCTGGAAAAATCCTTCTCTTTCCCTCACCTATCTGTTGTGCCTGACTCCTTCTCATCATTCTAGTCTTAGCTTAAATCCCACCTTATCAGACAAAAATTTTTTCCTCTATGTGAGTTCTCCTCAACTCTCTGTCTTCTATCAACTCTCTTGTTTGTTTTTATGATAGTACTTTTTATTATTTGGGTTTATTTATTAAATATTTTAATCCTCTCACTAGACTCAGAGTTCCAGGAGATGGTGCATCAGGTCTCTTTAGTTTGTTCTGTGCCTAATAGAGTACCTGGCATATGATAGGTATGGGAGCAGTAGATGAAGGAATGGATGAATTGATGAAAGGATCTACAGATGTCACAGTGCCTTTCCACAGG